CTATTTACAAAGGTCAGTTTGCTCTGTATGATATCCATAACCACTACCAGAAAAAAATATACATAAAATAAACACCTTATCTTTCAAATAAACATTTACAAATATTCTGCTTGAAACTACTAGAAAAATTAAGACATTTGAAATGAAGAGTGCATTCTGCATGCAGTTAAGATAGAAATTACATTGCTGGACTTCAGTGTGTAATTTCTTATCACTGTGAACAACATACACTTGGGCTTTTCTGAAACACCACAGCTTGGTTATTACCTTAGGATCTCAAAAGGAGGACATTAACAAGTTATTAGCTACTCTGTGTTTTCCCATTAAGAAAGGACATCCCAATTTTCTTCTCAGTAGGAGGGTCTGGTCTTGTCCAACTTGGTGTCCTTTTCCCTGAGTTTCTCCTTAGTGTTCTGCTAGGATGATGGCTGGCTTGATACATCTACCAGTCCTTGGTGAGGACTCTTCCCATTACAAGGCAGAGTTCAGAAATTCCAGGAGCTGGGCACGGTTCCGGTCTCTCTGTAGAGCAAACAAGCAGAGGCAGTGGTTGGACAAACCTGTACTCAGGAGCAAGGCCACAGATCCCTGTTTTCTGTGGGGCTTCCACGTCCCAAAGCAAGCACCATTGATACAGCTGAATCTAACCAGCTACCAGTGAGGTGTGGGTGCCCAGGGGAAGTGCCAGGCAATGGCTACACTTGAGACAAGCTGTCAGTATTCCATGAGACATTTCCTAAGTGGCTCCCTAAGGAGGCTCCACTGGGTTGTCATTGTGCAGCTCACAGCTTGCCCAGGAAGGAACTCACAAGCACAACAGATGCTCCTCTCTGGTGGCTGAGGTAATTTTCACTGTACTCACAGCAAGTCCTGAGCTTTAGGAAGTATCTTTTTTTCCCTATGCATATACAATAGCTTATGCAGCATAACAGAACCCTGAATTTGGGTTCTCTCTTCACATAAGAGATGACCCAACCAGTCAATTTCAGTGATTTTTATTAAAAAATATTGAATTTTTAAATATTGTAAATAATGGATGTTGTTAAATTCAGCAAGACCACAGGCACCAATCGAAAAAAAGGACCAACATCAAATATTTGACATTAAATATTGTAACAAAGCAGGCTCCTGGAACAAAACTAGCAAACGTTCAGCATAATTTAACACGCACTTTGGTGTCACAGAGAGAAGATAATGTGTTTTCAATCAAATTTAACTTAGAATGCTCAGGACTGCTTTGGTAGCTGTAGAATGAATGATTAGGGCTGAATCTGAATCTGCCAAGCTGGATACTTCAAGGAAGTAACACTTCCCGACCAGTACCAGAGCCCTCTGCAGGTCACCCTAAGGTGCTGAAGAGTGGAGGTATTATTTAAGTGCTGAGTCCAAACATCCACAGGAATAGCACAGCACTATGCACTGGGTATCTCAGCAAAAATATTTGACTGCTCTGAGAAAATGCAGGAGCATGTGGTCCTAATAATACAACTGGGTTTTTAAAAATTCCTCTTTAAATAAAGGGTAGTCTTGCATGTGTAGGAAAAACACAGTGAAGTAGCAATTACCAGAAGCGATCACAAGAGACTGAAAGAAGATGAATACAATTAGCACCACTGTAAGAGAAAGCTACAAACTGGCTAATGATTACAGGCTGAAATTCTAAGGACCTGCACAAGCATCCTTTGGTTTATCTGCTCATGACTGAGTATTCCAAGCCCCTTCGTAACATAAAACTTGCCAAAAGAATGAATTAAAATTTCTCAGAGGGCATCACAGCCGCACTAAAAGCTACATTCAGTTTACAACTCTTAACCACTCTTCTACAAAAACTACCTCTACAAAAAATATTAAAAGATCAAGTATTTTTTCTTAGGAACATTTAGACTAATTAACTCCTACCTCTATATCTTCCTTAGTCTTTTTTATTTTCATCTTAATTTTCTTTCCAGTTATCATGCTGTAGTTTTCATTCTTCTTTTTGTTCTTGAAGAACTGAAATGAGACCACATGTTAAAAACACATAAGCTTTTTTCTGTAGAAATCTTATGTAAAATAACAGACAATAATCTTTTATACTTCCTTACTGTCCACAACAACACAGAGAGAGGTTTTGACTGGTTGATGACCAAACTGATGATCTTATAAACAGTTTTATGACAGGATGGATTAAGTATGTAGGTGAGAAATAAAACAGGGCTTCACATTTGGACCAGCATACCTTGGAAAGCTGGACAGGTCCTGTTTTCTCTTTCCTTTTCTTCTTTTCCTTCTTTTTCTTCATTTTGTTCTCCTTTTTCCTCTTCTACAAGAATAAGACATACACTCTTATGCTTACAGCCTAACAAGGAAAAAAAACCCCAAACCCCCCAAGGATCTCTCAAGACCACTCAAGTGAAGACAGCCACAACTGCTGGCCCTCACCACTGCTAGACAAGTAGTACAAAGTAACACAGCAGAGTTAGCAACCCTTGGGACTCTGAGGAACAGAAAAGGTCTGATTCCTCGCCTCTCTCTTTTAAAGTAACCTCAATATAAATCACTGGACATGGAATAGGAAAAATTACAACAGCAAGAATTTACCATTCACTTCTCTCACCAACTAGAAATAATTTCTTCTAGAAAATTCTATGAAGTTATCAAGATTCCCTACTTTTCTTCAGAGACTACTCTAAACTCCAGCTGGGCCAGCAATGATTGGCAAAAGTAACTTTTATATGTTTTCTCTTTTTTTATAAAGTCAGGTACTCATCAGTTCAGCTACCACAACCCTAAAAGCATGATTTAGATTTACAAAGCCACAGAAAAAAGCATTGTCTTACATGACATTTAAGGTTATAATATAAAGAACTGTTTTGTTTGTTAAGTATTTATATATCTTTGTAAACTTTTACCTTTTTGTTGTGTTTTTCCTTTTTCTTTTTCTTTGACTTAGACTTAGGAGAATCTAAAATTAAGGAAAGAAATAAACAACAGAATTAAATCCTGTAAGTTTAGCATTCTGAAAAAGGCATTTGTTTTACAGATAAGACAGAGAAATGTGAAACATATGAAGAAAGTTCTATAGGATATATATATATATATACACATAGATATATATACACTGACAGAGGTTGAACGAACCCTGAAAAAGAGAACACATTAAGTTACTGCCACTTACTGGACTAACATGGAAACTGAAAATACCTGATTTACTGATTCTGCAGATGTGCTGGCTTCACCCAAGTTCTCAAAGTTAAACACTTGAAATGTTAAGACCAAAGTAGGACTAAATCAAACCTACAACTCTGGTCCAGATAGACTGGTGAAGTAAACCAAGATCTGTGTTTTGAAAATGCAAGAAATTGAGGGGCTTAAATATATGCAGCATATTGCTACCAAGTAATATCTATTTGAATGGCAGTTTTTCTTTAGAAGGAATTCAAATTAACACAAGAACATTGCAAACTGTTTGTGAAGTGGCACCTTTACACACAATTGGAAAGGGTTATGAGAGAGACACTGAACAAGCAGCACTGGTATTCCGCACTGTCACTCTGTGGTGGTTTGTTTTTTAAAACAAACTTCCAGTTTTGATTGCTCTCAGGAGTGTAATCAAAACTGGAAACCATCATCTGCATGTGGAGGTAGCTTACCTCTACTACTACTGGAAGAAGATGACCTTGATGATGAGCGTGATGAGGAGGAAGAAGTGGATGTACTGCTAGAAGACGATGTGGATGAAACAGAGGAGGATCTGCTTCTGCTGCGCTTTCGTTTCCTTTTTTCTTTTCCTTAGGGCAACACAAGGCAACAGTGACAAGCCTGCTAGCAACCGTGACCTACAGAAATGACTCTCAGTAGAACTTAAAACAAAATAAACCCCTGTTTTGAGGGGTTGGCTGTGTTTTTCCCTGCTCTTCCAGCGTGCCATGGTCTAATGCCACAAACCCAGTAAGTGACACAGAGGGTGACACACAAACAAACACCACAGAACAGCAACAGATTACAGCACCTACCTCGGGCCTTCAGCCCTTCTTCTGAGGTTGCACACAGCGTCCTACTTTTTTCATCCTTCCTGTTATCCATATCTAGTCAGAGGCAAAAGGACAGTCAATAATATCATTTCCCAAAGACTTTGGAGGGGGGGGGAGTTCAGAAACAGGGGAAAGGAGCCAGCACGCCTGAGGGTGGGCCAGGTGGGAAGGGAGCACAGAGGGTGACCCGGTCCAACCCCCCGCTCCAGCAGGGCCATCCCGGGCCACACGGCACAGGCCGCACCCTCTCACGGCACGGCACCGCCCTGCGAAGGGAAAGCTCGTTCAGCTCAGCGCCACGAACCGGAGCCAGCAGCCCCCGTGTCGGGCCGTGGCCGGGTCACGGATCGCGGCCGCAGGGCCCCGCGCCCCGGCCAGCCCGGCCCGCAGCCCTTCCCGGCCGCCCCGGGCCCCCGCCGCACCCGCGCCGCGCCGCCGCTCCTCCGCCGCCGCCCCGCCGCTCCTCCGCCGCCGCCCCGCCGCACCCGCGCCGCCCCGCGGCTCCTCCGCCGCCGCCCCGCCGCTCCTCCGCCGCCCGCGCCCCGGAAGGGCCGGGGCCGCCCGCCGCCGCTTCCTGCCGCCCTCACGGGCCCTCCCTCACGGCAGCCGCGGGCCCGAAACGCGGCCCCGCCCCGTCCCCTTCCCCCCGCACCGCGCCGCGGTCCCGCGGTGCTGGAGCGGCTCCTGATCCTGCTCTGAGCCGCAACAAACCCAAGCCCTGCTGAGCGCAAAGCCGCCCCGCCACGAATCACCGCCGCGGTGCATCCCCACACCTCGGATTTTCATCCCGTCTAGGATTTACTGCACTTGCTCTGCGATATCCAAGTGCAAACCCAAACACCCATGAAGCACATTGATTCCTAATCTTAAATTGGTTTGTTTTTGTTGTTTTTTTTTTTTTTTTTTTAATTAGTGTAAAAAAATACCCAGTACTCCACATCCTTAAAAGTATGCTTCAGTCCAGCCAAATGGAATATAGGCCATAATCCTTCTGGAAGGATGATAAAATTATTTATTCTTACATTAGATTATGTACACAGTAAAGACATTCAGCTAGAAAAATGCCTCTGTTGTAGTAAGAGATATTCAAACAACTACAAACTATGAATAAATACTTTAGAAATGTATCGTGTGCTGATGTAGAAATACCCTACGCTCTTTTGGTTACTTACCCAGTACAATATTATTGAAAAGTTTTTTGGTATTCTTCATGCAACATCAAAATTCTTCCTGATATTCATGCTATACAACTTTTTTTTTTCTTTATTAAGAATGGGATGAAATTTAAAACCCGGTTCACAAGCAGTAAAAAAAAATCACTGAAAATTTTAACATAAATCTCTTAATTCCTGTACTAAAACAAATTTAAAGAAGGTTGTCTTTAAAAAAATTAATCTTCTCAACTAATTCTTTATAAAACAGGCAGTACTTCAAAAGGGATGTTTCCATCACCCAGGATGAATTTGTGCTTCAGAATTTTAAAAGGAATATTTATGGCAAAAACCTAAACCCAACCAGTAGGTAGAGGAGAAATTGCAGTAGGAACTGCCTAAAACCAAACATGCTTCCAAAATCTGTCTAGGAAAACACTAAACACTTATCCACATCACAATGCCATCACCTACTCTAGCAACTAGAAATGGAGTTTTAATAATACTTAGCTCTTTTCATGCTGAAACTTCTACACAAACATTTAAATAGCCCTAATGCTTCTGCAAGTATTATTACCCCCATTTTACATTTGGGGTGGTGGAGGCAGAGAGGGCTGGGAATTTCCCAGGATCCAGGCCACACACATCCTTTTCATCTTGCCTCCCTTGCTTGTCCGAGTTCTTTATCACTTTCTGTATTTAACACTCAGTGTACTGGAGAGCCCCAGGACACAGGGATGGTACATTCCCATCAGTTGTTAGTGGTTATTATGCAAGTTGTGTGTCACTTTGAAAGTTACATGACAAATATTAAAGTAATAAGCGATATGAAAGCCAGGCTCAGGGTTGATGTCACAGAATGGCACACCACTATCAAAACAAGCCTGCTCTTTCTGAAACCAAGTGTTATGCCTAATTCATTCTGGTTTACAGCTGAAATTACTCTTGAGGTCAATGGTGGCAGTACACAAGAATAAAATTTGTTCCTCACAATCTGTCCCAGGAACATAGGAAAGCCCCTATGGTGGCTCAGTACATCCTGACATTATAAAACAAAAAGGACTTGTAGATCAAAACAAAGATTCTGCATGTGCTAACCCACCATGAGGTACAGATTACTAAGGTCTCTTCCCCTCCACCCCTGAGTTAGAAAATACGTGTGTCTGAACTATGTCCTGAAAACCATTTGGGAAAGTGAATGTCTAGCAATAAGACTGCAGATACAAAATAAAGTATTTTGCCTTCATCTTGGTATCAGTCCTTGGCATTCTTCATTTTACCACATTTGCCCTCCTGAATTTTCTATCTTATGCTTTTCAGTCTGTGCCCTGTATTAATTTTTATCCTGCCTAGTTTACTCTAACTCTAAAACCAGCTTAGTTTCTTGCTGTCTCTTGATAAGCTTTGGAGCAATGGATAATGCTGTGGTGTTTCCCTACCTGTAAGAGATGAGAGATGCAAAATGCTGCCACTTGTAATAACAAAAATCACTGAGTATGCAAAATTACATCCCTCTTACAGGCACCCAAAGGGCTTTAAAAAGGCACATGTGTTCTGTGTCACTTGTTCATCAGTGCCTGACCTTGGTGGTTTTAGTGTGTCTTCAATAAACCCTGTACAATGCACACATTCCTTTGCAATATGGAAGGAACTTGGAATAAAAATTAAGATCTTCACACATCACAGTCAGCAGCTGTGTCATCCCTTAGCAAACACTAGAGCCTCAATGATTGTCAAAATTGGGTTCTTACAGCAACCTCACTCCCTAATCTATTTTCCCCCTTCTTCCCCAAACTTCTAGGAGAGAGGAAAATTGCATGTTACATAAGTGAGCTATTCCCCAAGCTCCTCCTGCCTTTTGTAGAGCTGGTAAGGCCAGAAAACATCTCTTTTGCACAGATGTGGAAGCAAAAGAACCGGAGATTTGCCCCTCTTCCAGCAGTGCAGCCAGGAACTGGCAGGCTGGCCAAGTGCCCTGCATCTGGTCATGTCCTGAGAGGTGAGAAGCACCTGCAGCTTTTGGCTTCAGATAGGAACTATGAATGTTTACCACCAATGGAAACCAGTCCCAAGGCACTAAGCAGGAGTGGAAAGGACACAAGAAAGCTGTTGTGACCTGGGGTACTCTGTACAGCTGAAACAACAGGCTAAAAAGGTAGGAGGCATTGGCCCCTTCCTCTGGGCTTTCTGGAAAAGTACAATTAAAACAAATTGTTTTAAATGCTTTCCCTGCCTAACTGAAGCCATTCTCCCTGCTTCAAAAATCCAGGAGATGGAGGGATCAAGACATATTGATTCAAATTTGCTAATGTTGAAATGTTTCCATTGCAGACAGAAGAAATGCACTTGCATGTCTGGGCATGGCTTCACTTCTGTCTGAGGGAGAGAAGCCCACAGGCCTGCCTGGGCTCCTGGGAATTTACTGGAGGAGGTTCATCTCCAAATGCCAGTCTGGTGATGGGAGCCAATCATTCCCTCCACCGTGGACTGAATCAATCTGGATTGAATGCATGTTTGCACCAACCTGGACTTCTAGCTGCCTTAAAAATGCAGTCTTGAAGAAAAGGATAGAAAAGGAAAGGCTGATGCTTTGGCAATTCATTATCTGTCCTGTAGTCCAAAGTCATGAAACAGTCTCAGTAGCTTGACTGGTGGCAATTTGCTATTGCATGGCTGGTGCTCACCACAAAAACAGCTCCTCATGCTTACAGCAGTCACATTGAGTGGGCATGCTTTTCACAATTCTTCCAGATCAGTTAGATCCACGACCACTTTCAAAAAGAGAGTATCATCTCTGATGTAGGTGTTCTTTGTGCTCTCCAGGACGGTGTGCGGCACGAAGCGCGGACAGCCGGAGGCGATATTCATTTCTCCATCCGGCCTTTTGAAACTGCTGCTGTTGGGGTCAGCTCTAAAGACGTCCACGATGTGATTTTTTTTCCCACTTTGGTCTAGAAGCATAAGTGTAACCTTCTGCTTGAAAGGCCACAGCAGCAGCGAGTCAAACTCACCCCTCATGACCACGAAGTAGAGGGAGATGTGCGTTCCCTTTCCCGAGCCGTCCCCGTTCAGGTAGGCTCTGGCACACAACCTGTACCCACAGCGGCTGGTGTAGAAGGGCTGGCTGGCTATGGACAGCACACGGCCTTCCACTGCCTCTCTTTTCTTCTTCTGGTAGTCTGTGATTTTCCAGATTAATTTCCCATTGTAGCACGTGCCTTCCAAAAGCTTAAATCGTTCTTCATTTTTATTGAGCTGTGCTTTGTGAATATTGATCTGGAGATCATGTTTGCTGGACTGATCTTCTAAAACAACTGAGAGAAGAGGGGGAAAAAAAGAATTATCAAAAAAAGAGAGAGACACTTGGTAAAATAAAATTGCCAGAGCCCTGGATAAAATGAGCACTCAAGAGTCAAGCTGGCAAAACCGATCTACCCAAGCCTGAGTACTACTGCTGTTAACTTTTTTAAACTGTAATTGCAGCTGGTAGTTGAATAAGAAAAGTATCAACTATAAATCGTGAATGCCTGAATAGCACCATAGCCTCCATCACAGTGCAGGAGCCAAACCAAGGCCAGTGCTGTGGCTCTGTGGCCCTGCAGTGCCACTGGAGTTCTGTGTAGTAGGGATATGTGGGAGAACACCACACACACCATCACAATTTGGTGTCAGAATGCAAAAAAAGAAAGCCCTTTCTAGTAGCACCAGAGCCTCTACTTAGCCCCCAGTAAATCAGCAACCCCTTCTACCTGTGCAGGGAAGTGCCAACCTACCTAAACGCTGGTCGTACGTCTCCATCAGGGCAATCTTCTGTCTCACGTTTTCAATTGTCTCAAACAGGGGCTGCAGGTCTAATTTACTTTGCTGCTGGTTTGCCATCTGTATTAGCTGTTTCACTTGTGATTCCAGGCGTGCAGACTTATCCAGGTGACTGGCCAGAGCCTTCCCAGTTCATGCCATTGGAAGAGGGTGGGAAATAGAGGCAAGAGATATCCATAAAACCAGATATTTGCTTTGAAATAAGATACTGAAGTCTTTAGCGTGTCAGCAGTATCAACAATATGATGCATTCAAAGTGCTCTGCTGGCTTAGGAATTTATCCCAGCACTCCTTCATGATTAATTCAGCACATTTACAGACTGAGAAGCCATCTCTCATTCAGAGCCCATTCACACTGCACCACTTCATTCAACTCATTATTCAAATTTACACCTGCACATTTGCCCTGGGCATCTGACCATGTAGAATTTGTACAGTGCTTTTTGCTCAGATCATGTATCCAAACTTCTGTATCAATTAAAATTAAAAGACAATACCATATTGTAAAAAAATGAGAAGGTCTTGGGGAGATTTATTATTGCTGTGCTATTAATGGCAACTATTACTGGAGAAACATATTTCAGGATGCAAAAAAGCAATTGGTAACAAAAGTAAAATCAATGTCTCACCTGAGTGCTTACCATCAAGTTGCTATTGTTACCAAACAGTTGTGTATACTGTCTGAATTCTTTCTCACACTTCTTAATGGCATCTGCTAGCTGCTGGATTTTGATCTCTTTACATTCCAGGTTCTTATACAGGTCAGATATCTACAGATGGGAAAAATCAGAGTATAAATGCTAAGGAACACCAAAATATACAATGAAGAAATTACAACGTATCTGACTATATAAGAGACACTCAAAAAGTTAACAATGCAAATCCTTCAAGTGAGCTAGATAGAGCACTCCTTAATTCACTAATTGTGAATAAGCACTGAAAAGAACTGAATAGATCTGTGTGGCTCCAGGTGCAAAGAGGCTCCTATCTCTCATTCCCATCATGATGATCCATTCAGCTCTATAGTGGGATAATATATACTTACATGCACAGGTGCGTGTCTGTTTCTATGTGTATGTATATGCATTTTTTTTCCTCTAGTGAGGTCTAACCAGCAGAGATGAGTCAGTGAGGGATACACTCTTCAAAACTTCAAAGTTTTAGCAGTTTGGGACTCTTATTTCTTGCATAAACAAGCAAAGAGTAAGTCTCCCATCAGCTTGGATCACCTTGGTTAACAGGACTGGGCCTACACCCAGTGTCTCCAGCTGTTAGCCAAAGAAGTGATCTTGAGCAGAGAGGTGCTTGCAACTGGCTCTGCTGTCCTCCGTGCTGCCTCCACACAGAGCAGGTGACCTGGGCAGCTAAAGGCCCAGGAGCAACCTGGCCAGTCAGTGAAACTTTAAAATACTTTATCTCTAAACTCATATCCAGTGTAAAGCAGAGACTGAAAGCAAATGAGGTGAGCAATAGCAAGGAGCTTCCCACTGTGCTTGGTGGAGTGTATACATGCCTGAGCACAGAGAGGTTTCTCTGTAATTGATTGACTTCACTAGAAGAGCTTATTTTGTCTTCTGAGGTGTGAAAAACCACAAAAACAGTCTTTTAAAATGTATCTGATCTAAACCAGGCAACAAATGTAGAATCTCATATCATCCCCTAACCAGTCAAGAACTGCTGAAGAGTGCTCATTAAATATGACTTACCTGCTCTTCCAACCGGGAGTTCTTGTCTAAAATCTGCAGCATGTGTTCCCTCAGGGCACTGTTTTCATGTTCAGCAAGTTTCCCTCTTTTAACCTTAGTGAGGCAGAGGGGGGAAATGAAAGAATAAAATAATAACATAAGCAGATTTTTGAAAGTGTTGGTAAAAAAATTATTGATGCTAACATTCAAAATGTCTCCTTTATGCCTTGAAAGTGAGGGAAGGACAGTCCTGATTCTCTATATTTCAGCTTAGCCAGCAGAAATGGTTGTGAAAGGACATAAATTAGTTATTTTAATTATTCTGATTGGTCTGGGAGACAAAGTCCAGTCCTGGTACAGACAAAGATCAGTAAAACAGTACCTTTACATGACAGCCGTACTGCTTGTATGGACAGTCCACTTCTGCCTCGGGACACACAGCATGGTGCTTTTCAATCTGCATGTATTAATGAAGCAGTTTGTGATCAAATAAACACTTAGTAGTTTGAAGCACTAATAAAATCTAAATGCCTGCAAAAAGGGTGAATAAAGGCCATTGTCATGACATCACCAATCACTTTACCAGGAAAATGAGTATTCAGAATCAATAAGCAAGCCAGGTATTTTTCCATGCTGCAAAACTCCAGTGGTTTGCTGTGACAGAATAATCCACTTATAAGATGGGAGATATATCCCTTTTAGGATTGAACAAGGGAAACTCTTAGAGCAATGAAATTTTATTGGCACTGGCCAATGGGGTCTGCAGCATAGCTTTCAGTTCTCATAAATTCATGTGATCTGCTGAATCGCAGTATCAGGAAAAAAAAAATAATAGTACCTCTTTTTTCAGAATTATTTGTGAACAGTTTTGGAGACAAGGCACAGGATAATCAGGACAGTCATTTTTCTCATGATTCTGAAGAATAAGAAAACAGAACAAGGCAATGGCTTTCATTTTTGTAAAGCAGTATATACAGAGGAAGATATGCAAAAAGTAATCCCAAACATAAAAATGCAAGCCACGTATCACTTTTTTGTTCATAAGAGAGCATCATTAATTGGTATGATTTAAAGTGCATTTATTATACTTTTTCCTTCAGCTACTCAGCCAAATTTTTTTTCAGGAATTAAGTGCCATTGCAATGTTGGAAACTTTTGATTCAGCAATATCAAGGGTAAACAGGTGCTATGGATTCCTGGGAATGCTTCATAATCTTACCTCTATGTTAATGAACACCACATATGTATTACAGTACTGGCACCTCTCTTCTCGGAATTTACACTGCTGCCTCAAGTGCTCCTTCAGGTCTTTGCGAAGAACTCGATCCCGACATCCATCATTAGTGCATTGCATGCATTCAAACAGACACTGCTGCAGATGCTCCTGCAACACACAGCAGCAGATTAAATGCCAAATTGTGACCTGGCACATTTCCTCAAATAATCAATCACCTCAGCATTCAGAATATGAATGAACACTGCGATTTACAAAGGCTACATAAAGCAAATGGTTCTTAAAAAAAACAAAACCCTAAGGCAAAGCTGGAACAAGCTAAAAGCTGTAATATATGCCACTTACAGAGTATAGCTGCCATAATCTTTGTACTTAAGCCATGTTACTACAATAACTCTGAAGACAATCACGGGAATTTAGCTGATCATGAATACACAGAGCTGTCATGAAAATCAAAGGCTTCAAAATTTGATCAAGCAAACCAACCTGATATCGCCCCAGAATTACTTTTGAACTGCAATCAGGAAAGTTTTTGCAGAACACATGCAAGTTGAGAACTTCTCTTTTACAGCAGTTGTCTTTGAATACCTGTAAAGGAAGCAAACAAGCCTTAATATGCAGTCACCCTTAATATGGGTCACATGGGATGTTATAAATAATATAAAAGAACAAAACATCACTACAGATCTTCTAGGTGTTCAAGTGTAGACACCATAATTGTGAGTATGGCTCTTGGTAATTCATACTGAAAATTTGTATTGAAACTATAAATTCAACCATTTATGATATTTCTAGTAAGCATAGGTTTCCACCCCCCCCCCCCCCCCCCCCCACGTAATTATTCCAGAGATGCTGATCCATCCTATAACCAGCAGGACTAGTAGCACAGGAGCTGGATAACCACTGCCAGAGCCTGCCTGTATCTAAGAGAAAGCAGCTGGAGCTAACAGGCTCTGAAAGCCAAAGCAGCTCTGTGCATGTTCCACTCTGTTCAAGCAGAGCCTTTGGGATGGGGGCAGTGCTGAGATATCCTTTCTGTCACCTCTGAGAAGCAGCACCGTGCTCAGTTGCGTGTGCAGAAACAAATGAAGCCCCCAGAACCAGCTCTCAGTCTTATTTAGAGATCTTCCCACATTGCTGTCATTAAAATTTGCAAGAAGTAGAAGATGGCAAAATAAAAACAAAAATCCTGTGCACAGTCTGATTATAATTTCCTATCAGGATGAGGAGAGAGAGGAAGGAGACATTTCATTTCCCTGGAAAATTTCTGGCAGAACCAGTATATAGTATACTTTTAAGCTTTGGAATATAAATAAGGACCAATGAATCCATTATAAAACAAAACAACCAACACCAACAATAGCTTGCAAAATGCAAAGGATTAACTTCTCTTTTCATCTAAAAGTTACCCAAAAGTAAATTAAGTCTTCAGGGTTAATGAGAGCTAATGGAGATAATCAAGCAAGCAAATTATAGCCAAGTTAAAATGAAGACAATCAGATAAACAAGATATCCCAGCATTTAAAAACCAAGTCAGTAAAATCTCCATTAAAAAAACAGATATCTGGTGAGTTGAGAGGATTCAAAACTTTGTGAAATTCTTCAACACTTTACTAGAAATACAGTGGACTAAAATGAAATCACTTTAGAACATGAGGTATAAAATGAAGCTTAAGCTAGACAGCCATAATCCCTTTCTGGGAGAGCATCACTGAGTACACTGCTTCCTTTAGCATTATTTCAGAGACAAAAAAAATGCTCTTCCCTGAGGACTAAAAGCCACCTTGTTCTCAGCTGTCTTGCCTTTCCCATGTAAATGCTGACTGCTGAAATAAAGCTATAGCCACTTACCTCATGCATTTTTATTGTTTCTTTGTCAACAGGACAGGTGGGTACTGCATTTAACTCTCTAGATCAAAAGAAGAGTTGTGTTAACCCGCAGGAAATTCAATTTACTTTATGAAATTGGGCTATGCTATAATCTGACTCTGACAGAAGTCAGCAGTAGATAACATAAAAACAACAACAAAAAGTCCTTTAGAAACACTTTCATCTGGCAACTACACAGCCAAATTCTGCCCACAGCTCCAAGAGAGCATAAAGCAGCAACCATGAATACGTAACAGAAAGCAGAGTCTGTCCTAAGAGTGTTCAATGGCAAAAGCCACAAGATGTTTTTTAATTAAGAGAACGTTGTCACTTTCTGACCATCTGCAGATCACAAATGTCATATCTCAGAAAATCTGATTGTGTGCTTTAAACCCAGCCTTTGTCTACTAGAAGCAGTGCCCTCCTTGTTACACCAGTAAAAGAAGATCTAATGGCTTCCTTCTTAAAAAGCATAGAAAGTGTGTAAAATCCAGGAAAACAGTGATAGGCAGTGCAAAAGGAGTCAACCCAGAGACAAAGCAGCGAACATGAAGCATCTGAAGTTCACAAAAGATAATGTGACATCCATCCACACAAAGAGGCTCCTCTGCAACCTTTCCAGGTGAAATCCTGCCCTCAGGTACACCAGAGTCCATAATGTATTCCCAGACAGGTCTGGAGGGTAATCTCTTTTGCACCAAGAAAGAGAAATGTCAGCAGCCTTGTGATCTGACTGCAGCATCAGGTAATATGAACATCAGTTTATAATTCTGCTAAATTCAGAGGAATTATACAGAAGCAAATGAACACAGCCTAATCTAACCACCAGGACCAACACCGTGAGATATCAACGTGGCCAATTCCTCTTAGAAGAGCACCATGGCAGACAGACAGACCACAGCAGCATCTCACACAGCACTATCAGCTTACATCAACAGTTTCTTCACGCTGACTTCCCTGCGGCTCACCAGCACCGGGTGAGGTCTTTAGAGACACCTTTAAAACCCTGAGCACGCAGTCACTGGGCTCAACAGAGCCCTTCCACTGACTCCTTCAGCCTCTCACCGGGCCGGTAACATTCTCACGGCACTCACTGCTGATTTACAGAAGACGTGGGCTGCTTTTTTTAGGCAAGGGAACAAGGGGAGCTTGCGGAGTCCGCTCTCACCTCAGCGCAAGGATGCACTGCTGGCAGAAGCGGTGCCCGCATCCCGTCTGGTGGGGGTTGCGCAGGACCAGGTGGCAGTAGGTGCACTTGTACCGCTCCTCCAGGCTTTCCACAAACCTGTAGTCGGCGTCGGGCTCGAAGTCCAGGGAGCTGGCGCTGGAGGAGTTCTGGCGTGTGAAGATGCCCGAGAGAGCGGCGGGCTCGTCACAGGCCATGGGAGCTGCACTGGGAAGCGAAGCAGCCGCAGGGAGAAGCTCTTCAAATGCTCCCTGGCAGCCTCTCTGCCTCGGCTACCGCTTGCAGCAGGCTGCTGCTGGCAGGAGGGCTCTCATCTGCAGGGGGGAGACAGGTTTCAGAGAGAAACATGGTGCCAGCTATGGAAGAACAACAAAACACTCACAGAACCACAAAAAGATCACGCTACAAGCATCAAAGCACACTTCTTTGGAAAAGAGCTTCACAATCTGAAAATTATTCCACAGAATTGAGATTTTTATGGTTTGGCTGGTTTTTGATTTTTTTTTTTTTTTTAATTTTCTTGCAGCAGTTCTTAGTTTTAAAAAACGACAAGAGTCTCAGATACAGCTGGGGAAAGCCGAGGCCAAGTTTTGGGCTTAATGTTCACCAGCAAAGTCTCCACTTAAAGTAAAGCCCACCCATACGACTTTACAAGATCATTGCACTGGTTCAAGCAGGAGATGGCTTTGTGGTTCCCCAGCAAGGAGCATGCAAAAAAAGAAGCCAGCAGGGGGATTTTACCTTCTGTTTCGGTGTTACACGAGTTGAAGCCTCTTAACTTGACATCTTTCTTTTTCCCATTGATCATTCATTTCTAGCAGTAAACTCTTATTTTACTTAATAACGTGCAAGTTTTTGGCTATATTAATTCTGTCTGAAAGAAGTGGTGGGAAAAAAGAAAGAAAAGCATGGTTGCAATCAGAAGTATGGTGTTTTTCTTTCAACCTACCATAACTCATACACAGCACAGGAATGCAACGTTAATTTTCCAGTAGGAAAAACCATCAACATTTGTTCCAAGCCTTAAGCCACAAACCCTGAGATTTGTCACCAGTCTTTCAACCTTGAAGTTTTTATTTTTTTGCAAGTAGCTCAAGCCCTAGAGCCACTCTGGTTGGCATTTCTTGCAGCTTTGGACTCAGATGATGTTTTCCTTACAGGGCTGTACAAAAGCACAACACACCTGAGCTTCCAGAGCCTCATTTCCTGAAGGAAGGGCTCAGTTTTACAGCTGTGCTGTGGGATGCTATTTCTTCTTTGTGTGCACCATCCACCCTGTCAGTCACTGGAGTCACTCTTACTGGCATCAGCACCTGTCTGAGAGCTCTCACTCATCTCCAGTAAGGTCACTGAGGGCATTTGCTGCTTTTGGATGGAAGCAGGGCCAGCACATGAGCATTAACAACCTTGTGTCTGGCATGAAACTGTGTCCAGTGCTGACACTCTGCCCTCCCTCCCTGCTGCAGTGGCCTCCTGGCCCACAAAAGCAGCAATTAGTGATCTGCCACAGAGCACCTTGGGCTTCAGAGAGCAACATCCATTTTCCTTTCCACTTTAACAATCCATACTGGGCGAGGAAATCCTGCAGACAGATAATGTGCCTGGTTCAAAAACACACCAAAGCACTTAACCAATTAAAATGTATTCCACAGCCAACATTTAAGTGCTCCTGTGGCTCAGCACCCTTGTTAGTGGCTGTACATAATATTCACCTCCCCAGCTTGTGAGAGTCTCCCTACCTTTTACCAGGCTGAATGTCTGACATACTCCAGCACAACTGAGCATCTAACATTGGTAGCCCTCGGGAATATGAACCATAATAATATTCCAGCCATTAAAGACTTATTATTCCAACAGGAGTTTTCAAATTACCCTGTTTGGTCCCTCCAAATGAACAGTCTCCTGCTTCAAACCAGACAGGGCTGTCAATTTGCTTCTTTCATTTTTAAACAGTTGATCTTTCCTCCTCTGAAAATGGGGTTCCCAGTTCCCTGACACCTAATAAGGAGCAATTCTCCTTTCCTCATGTCAACCAGACATGACAAAATGCAGCCTGAGGGATTGCCAGTCTCCAGTCTGGGCTGCCTCAGTAGCAGATGCCAACAGCAGAGTGTTCCTGCTGCTTCTAAAGCAGATGGAGAGCTGTCACCATTCACTTCCAGAGCATGGACCACCCACACGATGAGCTGCCTAAGAACTCACTCTGCCATCGGTCAGTGACAACCCTGAAACAAATTTCCTTCCTCTCTCTTATTACTGCTCTCTCTCCCATTTACTTGGCATACAATTTCCCCAATCCTATCATGTTCCAGTACTTATCTCATCTGCTGGTATGGTTTAGCAAGCTAATGCCACTCTGTTGTAAAAACACACTAAAATAAAACCACCACCAACAACAATACCATGTTTTACCCATTTTGCCTTTAGGGATCTTCCTTAACTCCAGAAACTCCAGCTGGGGTGACATATTTTAGGCAAAAAAGTTATGGGACACATTAAAAATAAACAGTCAGCAGCCCAAAATTCCATTGAGAAAACTCCTCCAGAGTTCTCACTGCTCGCTATATCAACCAAAATAATTCCCATTTCTTTCTTCAAGGAGCCACTCTCTTGTGGTATAACACCTTCCAACTCTCTTGCTGAAATGAGAGCCTGTATTTCTTTAAACACCTTCAGATCCCACTCCTAAAAATGGAGAGTCTTGGCATCTCCATGAAAGCAACTCGTGCACCTCAGCCTCGCCCAGGACAGCAGTGCACAGCTGAGGGCACCTCAGGGCACAGCAAAGAGCAGCCCAGGTGAAAGGAGAGCTGCCTGCTCAGCGGCCAGAGCGGAAACCTCCGAAGATGAGGAGCTCACCGCTGCTGCCAGCCTTGCAGGAGCTTTGCTGCAGGGCTTGCAGCTGTTCTGCTGGAAGAAACGGGCTGCTCCAGGAGAGGGGCTGTGCATGGCAGTGCTTTGCTCAAGCTGGAGAGGTGCCCGTGTGAATCAGCTGGGGAGACTCAGAGGAGCTGAGAAACAGCAGCCCCGTGCCAGGCAGCGCTGGGTGGGATGCGCTCCAAAGCAGCCCAGGCAGGTGCGATTCCCATCCCAGCACTCACCGCTGACTCGGGGCACCTGCAGCAGCTTTGCTCCCGCTCCTGCCTCCCAGCACACGGGCTCTGAACTGAAACCAAAGGGAAACCGTCAGGGGGAAAAGTGCTGCTGGCTGGCAGTGAGAGCAGCCCAGGGTTATCTGAATCAATTTCCTGCTTACGCTGATGCCTGGCCAGCGTGGGTAGGGGCTGAGGTAGCTTTCACTTCTGTCTGCTCACAGCTTCCAGCAAGGGGAAGCTGTCCTGCCTTTGTGTATGCTGCAATTTTTCAGCACACGTGTGAACTGTAACGCTGGTTTAAAATAGCAGAGAGCGGCAGGCTCATGCTGCATAATGATGCTCTTGTGGCAGACACGGTGCACGCTGTAAAGGCATTTTCACTGCAACTGCACTGCAACAGCACACACACAAAACTCCCCAATCTAAGGAGACTGAAAACCTACACGTTAAAAAAAAAAAAGGATTCCCCTATACGGAAATAAATAGAATTAATTCTGCCCACACATAAAAAAGTGGTATGAATCACTAGAAGCCAAGCCCCAGTCCTATAAACAGCTACCCATGAGTGGGAGCTCAAAGGCAGTGCAGTACAAAGAGCTCCCAGCTGCACCTTTCCACCACTTCAGCATCCCAGCCTTGCCTGCACGAGTTGCACAAGCAAAATGCTTCTGGAACAGCTCTTTCTATGCAGCTGCCTTAACCTCACTGGAAATAATCCAAGTGGGAGAATTTTCATAACAAAAATAAACTTTATCAATTGGGAGCTGTCTTGTTTTAACTACCACCACACCAAACTGAGCCCAAACATTTTCCAGTAAAATGCTCCACACTTAGAATTGCTTCTTGTTCAGAAATTGAGCAGAACATAATAATGAGAAAAATCAGCATGGCCGTGACTATAAAATTGCATCAACATTTTAAACCCATGTTCAAACAGCTCCTCTCCAGCACTGCTGCTCTCTATCTACAGCACCAGCAGTCAGAGTGACAGAGGCTGTGTGGAACCTTGATCACACTGAACTATGGTGGACAGATTAACTTCTTCTAGCCACAAAGACATACTTTCTGCACACAGGAAAAGCCATTCCTTATAATGTGGTTGCATTTTTTTTTTTTTAAGAGAACATGTTTTTCCTGTTTTCTCTCATATGAAGCCAATCATTACCCCATGAGCTATGAGCGCACCATTACAGCCAAAACTTCCAGGACAGCAGAACCAGACACGGGCACTGGGTGCTACCATGTCTCAGACTGAGAAGGGAAAATATCCAGGTTGTTATCACAGATTTGATCACCACACATGGACAAGAAGACAGGATCCCTGGTCCAGCTGCCCAGCAAATGGGGCTGAGAGCCCATCTTCTGTCAGGTTCACTGCATGAGGGCAGGGTGATGCTCAGCCACCCCCCAGGACTGGGGTATTCCCAGTAAAAAGCACCTTCCTCACCAGCTTCCATGTCACACATTCAACAGGGCACAGAAAAAAAGGTTATGCACCTACCTTTTTGTAGCTCTAGTTCAGCTGTGTTGCTTTGCCCTAAGACACTTGGTAGGGGCAAGTCTTAGAAGATGCCCTGCCCCTCCCTCTAAAATTGTCTACCTTTTATGGCAGATCAGACCTGTCTTAGGCACAGTGGGAAAAGTTTTGTCAAATTTGGAGGTCTAAGATCAAGTCACTTCATTGGGAGGTAACAGGCAGAAACAGGATGGAGGGGAACATATCTTGCATTTTAAAAAAACCCTCCAAGCTGCCTTATAAACTACTAAATTTATAAACAGATTAGCTGCCTCCAGTACTTTTGAATTAAAATAACAGAGTTGTATGATTTACTACTCTAAGGCCCTCCAAAACCCTGCTATTTTGGGGACAAGAAATATATGCCCCAACTCGACACACAGAAGAGCAAACAGTTTGCTAAAGAATGACCAAAAGTATCTATACAGTTTGAGATACATATTTAAGCTATAGCAAGTTATATGCAGTCATGTGGAAACAGGAGATGATGACATCTGACATCACTGGGGATCATCCTTGTCCCTTCCAGCCCACCAGGAAGACTTAGAACATTTTGACTGACAACAAAACACACTTGCAGAGTCTCCATATGGGAGAAGGCCCCTGGCTGCACCGTGTGTGTCCCTGCAGCACAGAGGCTGAGGAGGGAAAGGATTCCCTGCTGCACCAACACAGACCCACTGCTACCACTCCGGGCTTGCTCCCACTTCACCTGGCAGCCAATGGACCTCGGGAACTGCTCTGCTGTTGTTCTAATCACTTCAAAGCTGCAGGGCAGTGACCAGCTGGTACCCAGGAGAGAGTATTTCCAACAGCAACAATTTCCTATTGGATATGTGCCTGAGCTCCCCTCACCCCCCCACCCCCGGGGATGTTGCTGCAGAGGACAGCAGAATAATAATTTTCTTTAGAATATAGACACCACTATGCTATTGAAGTTACAACTGTAATATTACCTCATCCTCAAGGCACAGTAAAACCTTACTAAGCAAGCATCAGTTTGCTCATCTCCATAGGCAAATTTTCACTAAGCAGAGTAAGACAGTAGGGTTTCCTTTGCATAGAGGTACAGTCAAGCATTACAATAAATTCCCATAAGACTAGACTGCATCAGGGTTTTAAGACACAGGTTACGACACAGCATTTAAAAAAAAAATTAAAAATACATTCTTACAATTAATGAAGTGTGTCTGGTGCTAAAGCAGCTTTGATTTTACAGCCAGTTTACTTATTTGCTACATCTACTGTTTTCCCTGGATGTTCTAAAAATAATTAATTAATTTTGCATTATCAAGAAATCTGTTTCTAATCAACACAATATTGTTATGCCTTAAAATAACCTAATTCACAGCTGGAAAATCACCTTGTTGCCATCACTTCTGCAGCGATCTCTGAATGATTTATCACCTTCCCAAGCACTGACAGAAATCTCAGTAAGAAGGCTCTGCCTCTCGCCCTTACAACAGCACGATACCACTTTGCCAGTTCAGGGGGTGAACTTGTTCCCTGAGATGTTTTTGGGTCTGCAGCCTAACCCCAACCCCTGTGTGCCAAGTCCCTGAACAGCCCTTCAGAAGTGAAAAATAATTCTGGCAAAGTGAAGCTCCTGCCAGCATTAACAAGACACATTTTGGTAAAACCATACCTGGAAACTGTAGTTGGTCCTCAATGGGGAGAAAATGAGAGAGAGACAGAGCCAGAGCGTACCAGCGTGAGCTTTGTGGTTAACACAGCAGTACAAGCATTTTAAAACAGCAAGGGAGTGGAAATCCCCCAGAGTAGCTTTGAAAAGATCATGCATGAAAATGTTTTAGAAGTGTTAGGATACAAGACAAGCCACTGAAAAGTATTTTGCCTTTCTGCAATGTAGGGACTGCAAATTTACCATCTGGAGCACCACAAGGTTACCAAGGACGTTTCTCACAGTTGGAATCCAAGATACAGAGTAGATTTCACCTTCCACAAAACTGGTGAGCGATGTGATCAAAGAAAAAGTACAAGGGCAGCAGGAAACACACAAGGACACAAGAAACACCCAGGTTCAATCCTGTAAACCCTCCACGGTAGCCTTGCAAAGCCGGGTGAAGCCATCCATTGCAGGATGTGAAGTGGCAGCTCACAGAGGAAGCAGCACTGGCTCGGTCACATCAGCTCATGCCACAGGCTGCACAGGCATGAGACATTCAAACAGAACTCTCAAACGGAAACAAAATACATTTTAAGAAAATAAACATTTTATTTGGTTTTGTAATAACTTAAGTGGCCATAAACCCTAATGGTTTTGTAGTCTCAACTTAATTGTGCACACAAGATTCTTGGCAGCCTCTCTCCCCAGTCCAAAATGTGCTGCCCTCGAGGCAGTGCCTTAGGCTCCATCTCTACCTCCACTCTTTCTTTATCCTCCTCTGTCCTCTTCCTTTGCTTTCTGGTCTCTTGTTTTAATTTTTTTCCCCTTCCTTTCCTGAAGTAAC